GCAAACTCTGTGCAATACACCTTGCCACACTCAGAGGCGTCCACAGTGCAATATCTCAACTGGACACAACGCGGCGCCACTTACATCTCAAGATGTCACACGTAGGCTCAGGCGAAACATCACTTTAGGTTCGAGCTGGTTCGTAAAATTTACACTCATCACTGAGACTGTCGCATCTGTATACACAAGTGCCATAGTAGCAACTCCATCGACAACTGCATGAACTCTGTTCTTTAACATAAGTCTTAGAAATAAGATTGACGACTTTCACTTGCTGTTAAGTTCTCTTCAGCCTGCAATTGTATTAGGCACTGAATCATGGCTCGATGCCACTATCCTTGATAGAAAATTGTTCCCTGTTGGGTATCACTGTTTTAGGCGGGACTGTGAATCTAGGGGTGGTGGTGTATTTATTCTTGTAAGATCAGACTTACCTTGTGTTCGAGTTGATTGAGCATTGGAATGTGAATCTGTATTTTGCAAGTTGCGGGCTGCTAATGGTCAATGTTTTCTCATTGGTTCTTATTATCGCCCACCTAGTGCCTCTTGTCAGCAGTTAGCTCAATTGACTACTTTTCTTGAGATCGTTCAGTGTGATCACATTATACTGGGAGGTTTTAACCTTCCCGGTTTGGACTGGGGGTCAGGTAATTGTCTCGCAGGTGGTACAACAGGTGGTTTATACAAAGCCTTCTTTGAATTTATGCACGAAAACAGTCTGCATCAGTTGGTAAGAGATCCCTCCCATAATGATGATACTGGTAACGTGCTTGATTTGTTGCTGATGCGTCGAACATTATTTCACATATATGTGCTTTGCCCGGCATAAGTGAGCATAAGGTTATTGTAGCGGACGTTACATTTCAAAATGTGTGTGTATCGAAAAAAGCCTCCAGAACAGTGTATGCATATAACAGGGCTAACCATGCTGCACTAAATCTAGCTCTTGAATCTTACTTTCCTACTTTTGACACATTGGCAGATGAGTTAAACGGGGAAGAGTAATGAGGAGTACTTAAAGAGAAGCTTTTTGAACTGCGTGCTAAATTTGCTCCCGTTCGAACACTCTATTCCAAAAGTTCAAAAGATCAATCGTGGTTTAACAGGAAACTCAGTTCTTCATTAAAAAAATCAAAAGAATCTATCGGCTTAGCAAGACTCAGAAATCTGATAGTCGCTACTTACAGTTAGCAGAGTTAAAACGTAGATTTAGAAAGCTCGCTGGATCAACCAAACAAAGATACTTCACTGGCCAGAGGCTGGTAGACGATCCGAAGGAATTTTGGAAATACATTAAAAGAAACGGTAAGGAGGACACTTCTGTTCCACCACTGCACTGGTCTGACCGAATTATTAATGATGATCCGAGTAAGAACGAAATTTTTTTTAATTACTTGTCATCGGTATTTCAGTCTGCTTTTTCAGATGCTAGTGCAGTTACAATTAATGATTTTTCTGTCCAAGGAGACAAAATGTCTGAGGTTGTGTTTAGTGCGACGGGAGTCGAGAGATTATTGCAAGGCTTGAGACACATGAAAACGAGTGGTCCGAATGATATTCTGCCATCGTTTCTTATTAACTGTTTGGGCACTCTCTGTTTATATTTTTGTTGTTTATTTCAAAATTCCTTAAAGGACGGCATTGTTCCTGGAGACTGGAAGTTGGCCCGCGTGGTACCAATCCATAAAAGTGGACAGAGGGACAGAGCTGAGAATTTTAGGCCAGTGCGGTAACTAGTATTGTATGCTAAGTTAAGGAACATGTGATTTATAGCAGCATCATGTCTCACCTTGTTGCAAATAACCTTCTTCATCCTAGTCAGCATGGCTTCTGGCAGGGCTTATCTTGTACGGCACAATTGGTAGAATTTACTCATGACCTTGCCTCAGCTGTCGACAAGCAGCAAAGTGTTGACTGTATATTTCTGGATTTCAGAAAAGCTTTTGACGTCGTTACGCATAGTCTCTTGATCCCTAAACTTCGATATTACAAATTGGATGATAGGGTTATTGCTTGGATAGCTGAGTATCTTTACTCAAGGCAGATGTCTGAGTCCTCTACATATGTAGCTGTGACCTGTGGTGTACCACAGGGATCAGTCTTAGGTCCGCTTTTACTTTTGTTGTTCATATATGACATCACTTTCGGTATCACATCATCATTTAGAATGTTTGCAGATGACTGTATAGTATATAAGGCCATCAATAGCGACCTTGACAAACAAGCACTGCGAAATGATTTAGATTTAATTGCCGCATGGTGTGAAAAATGGAAAATGTCGTTGAATGAGAAAAAAAGCGTCCACGTCACCTTTACCAGGAAACTCTCGCACTGCAGAAATCATTACATGATTAATAACGTTAATCTTCAACATGTCACGGAATATAAATATCTAGGCGTATTTTTCACTGCTGATTTGAGATGGAATAAACATGTCACTTATGTTAGGAACAAGGCGGTAGGAACATTAAGTTTTCTGAAACGTAACTTCAGTAGTTTACCACAAAAACTTAAAGAGCAGCTCCATTTTACACACGTCCGCAGTATACTGGAGTATGCGTGCACCTGCTGGGACCCATATACTAAGGAACTTACAGATAAACTTGAAAAAGTGCAGAATAGAGCAATTTGATTTATCCTTGGAAATTACGACAGGATGCTTAGTGTGACAGAAAGCAGAAAAACATCAAAATAGGACCGTCTTGATAACTGTCATTGAAACCTCAGATTAAAATTCTTTTATAGCATTTATCATTCGAGAACAGAGATCATCAGGCAATTGTATTTTCAACCACCCAACTATGTTTCTCAAAGACGCGATCATCACTTGAAAATGCGCGAGATTCCTTTTGGGGGTGACGCTTTTCGCTACTCTTTCTTTGTCCGCACTACAAGAGAATGGAACACTCTGCCACCGGAAATAGTCTCTATTGATTCAAGTGATGATTTTTTCCATGCTTTATGAATGTTTTTTATGTGTTTGATCATATGTACTGTACCCTCCCTGCTGTAATGCCTTATGACGTGCAGGTACTTAATAAATAAAATAAAAATAAAATAAACACCGATGAGGGTATATTTGTACATAGCGTCTGGTATCTCGCGACCTCACCCCCACTGGCCACACCAAGTAGTTTTCCAGCGGCGGTGATTGAGGCCAGCTAGATATTGCATGGCCCGTTTGGTGCGCGTGGTTTCCGTGACGTGAAGAGCGGACCATCGAAAAGTTGGTGAGATGTGTAGAAGGGCTGTTGCTGATATAGGCGGTGGTCGCAAAAACGTGCCATGTGACCCGAGAAGCCACAGTTGAAGTAGTATTAAAAATTGGGCAATTTGGTAACAATTTATTTTTTAAGGGAAGAGAGAAGTAGGAAGACACAGGACGAGCGCTGTCCTGTGTCTTCCTACTTCTCTGTTTTCATTTTTTGCGCTGTTTACCTTAAAAAAATGCCACAGTTGAAGCACACCAGAAAAGGTCGAGATACACGCAGCTGTCAGAGAACTGACTCCTCTCAGAAGGCATGGAATAGTGGTGCCGCTCTTCAGCGGCACCGTAGGCAGGCGAGGTCGGATAATCAGGTGGGTGAAAACTTCGTAATTGGGAGATGGGTAATGAGGGAATCCAGCCTGCCATGTGCCTTGGTATTCATAGGTATCTGCTGCGTTGACCGATTGTTGCCATGGTGCAAGAGTAGCCGAAGTTTGCACACGTTCTGGTGCGCTTGTGTAGGCATCCTGAAAATCACTGGGGCAATGATAGGTCCACTCACATCGAAGCAGCTGTTCTCCGACCATCTGCTGTATGGTCAAAGCGCGGTCCTTACGCGACCTTGCTTTGAACACTAGCCACAGTGAGGACGTAGGACAGGTGGCCCAATTTCGGAGATCTGTAGAGTGTTGAGCGATTCAAAAGTACGACAGTGTTTCATTAGGTCAGACAGGGAGTTCAGGCTGTCTTTTACAATTAAGAAATTGCACACGTCTTCGGCTATACTCTTGAAAACGTGTCGAACCTTGTATTCTACAGACATCCTGACATTCACGATCTTGCATAGCTTTAAGATTTCTTCTATGTACGTCGTACATGTCTCTCTTGTAAGCTGTGCCCTCTCAGACAATGTCTACTCTGGGCGTTTCTCCTTTGCATCAGAACCAACGAAGCACTTCTGCACTTTTTTGACAAAAAGTAGCCAAGTCGTGAACATGTCCTCGTGGTTTTTGTACCACATAAGGGCGGTGTCAGTTAACGAGAATACATGACTGAGCTGTTCGAGTCCTAGCCATTGCTTTTGCTCACCCGCTTATGTTCCCGAGCCACGCATCAACGTCTTTTCCTGAGGTCCTGCCGAAGATAGATGGCACTCGGTAGTATAGCACGGAACCCGTCGAAGTTGGCCTTGAAGCGTTAGATGTCTGGTCTTGGGCCATTATGATCGGCGAAGATGAGAGTCCGGCAAGGCAGTGGCTGCGGCAAAGTCCTGGTAGTGAAGCTTCCGTCCTTGAATTCGTCCTACCCAGCACCTTTCACCAATCTGTCAGTACAGCGAAGTAACTTAAGGGGGTTTTAACGGCACTGAGACCGCTATAGTGACATAGACCTTTGTGACATATATACTGACATTAACCAGTGTGGTCTCACCTTTGTTTTTCCTGGTAGTGACATAAATGATATGTGTTAAAGAAGATAATCGCACTCTTCACATGTTTAAGGAAGAATGCCATCTCAATCTGACCATCAGGAGTACTAAAAACATGATGTCCAAAAACTCAAGAAGTTGCCCGAAATTGCATCTCGAGAAATACGCAATACAAATGTAGAAATGAAAGCTCATCTTTTAGGAAATGATGAGCTTTTAAAAATAATTTCTTTCATTATATGAGGTTTCTTCTCATTATAAGAGGTTAGGAATTATGGTTATTTTGAGCTTGTGGCTTCGGTGAACTCCACATGTGAAATGTAATGGCGAGAAGCTAAGAACAACTGAGAAGACTCAAGGCAATGAGCTATCTTAAGGTTTTTATTGCCACCTTGAGCTCCATAAAGGCGATTTGTCTTCTACAAGTTAAACTACAACCTTGATTTTTCTTCATCATGAAAGTAGAGAAACTTGTGAAAGAAGTTGAAAACAAAAAAAATGTGTAATTTTGAAAATTCGAGTTGCATCTCCATCAAATGACCACAGTGTCGGTCACCACCACATTTACGCTCACTCACCATGATCCAGTATTGACGGTAGGAACAAACATTGCATACTCTGCATACGCTGCATGAATGTATGCTTACTTATATGTAAGAAATTAGCAGTATTGGTACACATAAAATGTTAATTACCAAATCAGGAACTGGAGCCACGTAGATGGTTGCACAATGTTGAGTTTGGGGCATGATGTACTGAACAATGCTATCATCAGAACATCGCAAGTTTAGCTACTAGTTTTGAACTCTAAAACACTGAGTCAACGACAAGCACTGGAAATATGGCTGTTAGATAGTGAAAAAGCATGTGCTAGCCAAAGAAATTTGCCAAGATGTTCATGTAAATCAGAGAATTTCACAGTAAGCTGAGCTAGTCTGTATTCAAGGAATGCATTTTAGATGTCTAAAAACATTAAGCTGAAAGGATGCGTTCATTGAACATATACTTTAAAGCAAAATGAAGAAATGCAACATTCTCGCATTTATGTGGCATTAGGAAAACACACTTGCAATAGAAAAATTTTGACCCTATAGCATAAACTAAGAACCTGGATAACTGGTTGGACTTCACAACTACAGTATGCACATGGACAATGGCCAACGACCATATACATACCATCTCATGGAGCGACTGCAGGAACCACAACATATTTCCTGTGGTGGACTGTGGCACAGACTGCGATCATTGGCCTCGAGGTGCCCATAAGTACAACCAAAGAATGCAGACATTGGCTGAGCAGTTTCAGCATGGCTATCATTTTCTAGCAGACCGAACGTCTAGAATTCATGTTAATGTGCACTAATGAAGGCCCATCTGTCACATGCCCAAAGTTATTGAAATCTGTTCAATTAATATGCCGATAATTCTAAGCGTCAGCACCCAACCCAAAGCTGTAGCCAGACCTACACATCACAAAAAACCTACTAGCAACGTGCATCAAGGCAGACTTCCTTGGCTGGCTGCTTAGGCATTGAAACACAAAACTTGAGATCATGTACATGTGTCGAAAAAAGTAAATGGTTACATTAGCCCAACCCGTGAAGTAAACAAAAATTAAACAACACCAATGAAAATGAAATCACAAAAACATGCTTGCCACAAATGCTACTACTACAGCAAAAGCGTTTACTTTTATACTGACCAACATCTTGGGGTACTCATATTCGTCTTCAGTAACAATTCTCAAAGGCAAACGACCACACCATGGGGCGCTTGCTAAAAGTGAACGAGGGCTGTGCTTTTGTTTAGTTTGCATGTGTACATGCTGTTGTTCTCGGACAAGTTAAAACATGCAGTAGCCGCAATGCCTGTACTGGCTATCAGCGTAGTATTTAAGGTGCTTCAGTGAACCCCAGTACCTGTCTCGCTTCAATACTCAAGGCGTTACCCTTGTCAAGATGGATAAATAGGCTAGTTGGTCGAAAACACAAACACAAAAAAGAATGGGACACTAAAGAGACATTATGACAAGGTTTACTGTAGCTCTATTCAGCATGTAAATGTGTTTGCTGCTGCAATATGTAAAAGGATGCTGAAACTGGTCCTTGGTACTTGTTTATTGTCCCACTCTAAATGATTCAGCAACATTAAATTGAACAAAAGTGACATAAAATTACTCTGATTGTGTGATTGATGATTTTTTTAACCGGGATTCCTTTAAGCGGACAAGATGTGTCATGCCATTTCAGTCAAACCTGAAGGAAATGGTGACAGGCAAATGAACCGGCCAATAACCAGTCACACCTATTATGGCGTCTGGTGCAACAACACTTTCAGCACTGCCGTCATTCGCATTCACTGCAATCTAGAAAGCAGGATGGTGGGTCACTATGTGCACAACATGAATCAGATATACAAAAAGGTTTCGCAAAACAATTATAAATAGATGATACGATCCTTGCTCCATAATGCTAGATGAAAACAAACAAAAAAAAGACCCCTCCTCCATGTTTCGTAAATGCCACTTCAAAACTTGCGTATGCATCACACACACCAAACACACAAACAAGGTATAACAATGGCAACAGCTGCTTCCTTAAATTAAAATGATGAAAACAGGTTCAGCTGGCCGCAATGTCTGATGCTGCAGTTGCAGTACACCGGTCGCTCTGTCCACAAAGTATAACCACAGGGAAAGAGAAAAAAACTGCTCTGCTTTCGTCACCCGAGTTGCACCACTGTGTAGCAGAGGTCAGTTCAGACAGAAGGAGAGTCCACAACACACAAACACACTGGAGTCTGGAACTTTTGATAGGAAGCCAACCTGGTGCCCAATGAGTGAGCACTCCACGAAAGACCACACACCACAAAAAATCCTACTGCAAAGAAGGAACACGAGAAGAAGGGGAGGGACAGTTCATGGCTCACTCGCACAGGAAACCGACCTCGGCCACTAACGAAAGGAAGAGTCGAGCTGATGGCATCCAGCAAGCCTTGTCACAGGGCTTTCTTGCCCTTGATTTTGTCAATGATGTTGCAGATCTTTAGAGCAGGACCAAGTTTGAGGCCCATGTACTTCATCATCATGTCGCTGTTCAGGAGAAGCAATGCTCGGCCATCAATCTCCTGCAAGTATGGTGGGTGCCCTGTTTACAGTGGTGTGTTGGAAGGTGCCTTCATTATGCGAATGGGTTAAAAAACATGGGGCTGACATCTGTTTCTGTCATTCCAAACAGCTCAATGCTTTAGAGCAACAGAAGTGTGTCAACAGGGAACTGTGAAAACAAAGTTCACAAACATGGTGCAAGTGCTCCTGTCATGGTTTCAAAAAAAGCAAAACCAAAAACGACAATGTAGCAGCCAAGAATGATGGTACAGCTGTCATCAGCAATAACTGTGCAGCTGGCCTAGCTTGCACAACTTAGGCTACAAATTTTTAAAGCTACCTAGGAAAAAAAAAAAAAATCGAGCAGATTCCATGCAATTTTTCTGGAATCTATTATAGAAGCTCCGATGCTTCGACAATACAAAAAGATGCACTGCTTGCAATTGGCATCAATGATGTACTTGGCAGGGCAAAGGTAAGCTTTCTAGGAAAATATATGAACTCAAGCCAATTTTTAGTGGTGCTGCATACAGTGCGGGTGCAATAAAATTTCAGCAAAAATGAGTAGCTTGTGCTTTCTATGCAAAAGGCCAGAGTCGGTGTATAAAGCATTAAAGTTACGAAGCATGTTTATGGGCATAGCATATTTTTTATTGCTATGGTTGAGAAGAAGAGCACACAAACATGCACATATAGCACTGTGGGTTTGTCTTAGTGCCTTTCTTGTGTCTCATTTCTTTGTGATACTATAGTAACCAGGAGTAAAAGTGTCAGCCTAATGTCCGAAATTTTCCTACGTGCTGCAGGGATTCAGGTGACTCGCTCAATTCTTGAAGAGCTAGAATACTTTAGGCCACAAATGCTCCACTGATGTGCGAAGCAAACGTAATAGTCAACTACAAGCACTTTTACAGGTGCAGCAAGGCACAGAGACAGGATTGCAGATAATTGTGACAAAGTGTGAAGTTGCACGACTACTGCATATTGGACCGCAGATAAAATATTTCACCATCATCAACAGGACAATACACATGCTTTTGGTGGCTGGCAATTACATTGTTCACAACTTAAAGAGGAAGCCGTACTGACACAGTGTACTACCACTAATGACGTGTGATGGGACTTGCACGTGGTACAGAACTCGAGACGTGCTAAACCACAAAATTCTGCTTTGAATAGAAGATTCCAGGACATATCAGTCAGAAAGACTAGGGATATGAGAAACTCACATGTCTGCGGAAAAGGTCCGAGTGTGTGGCCAGAGCTGCATCCAGGTTTGATATGTAACGGATCACATCTTCAATGCTCCACTCTGATGGAGGGGACGATGGCGGCGGACCGGGCTTAATGGCAGGGGGGCTTGTCATCGTGGTGACTACTACAGACCTCTGCGATTTTTCTGAGTGATGGCTTGTTGTTGAACTGGCTGCGAGGTTTACAATCAGCAAATTGCATATGATCTGCTTGTGACAACACCAAGCGTGGATTGTTGGAGACAGAGCAACAATAACAGTGGGAATCAGTATGTATTGTACTGGAATGGCTGTACGAATGAAATCAGTTCCAGATAACTCTGTTGCTTATTCACTATCTGCGGCCATACCTATTGCCACAAGTCTGCTAGACAAGCAATACGGAAATCTCTGCGGGTATTTCTTGAACAAAGTGAGCAGTATTTCACTGAAGAGGTTGAACGGTGGTTGTTTTGATCAACTAGATCACTACGTATCGCACTATGACTGCCGTTGTGTTACATCATTCTATTTACTCGAAAAAGCTTTTTGCCAGCTACTGGCAACCTTTCCATAAGAAAGGCCCCCTGTGAAACATCTATTCCATTGCAGGTGTTTACCAGTGTGGCTACAAAGCACAAGGACTTCGTTAAATTGAATATGCGGCACACAAATTGCCAAATGATAAGAAATAAACACATGGTCCTTTAAGGAGCTGAGATCATGAAATAAGTAAAGTTCATTACATTGCCTGTTTTATTATACATTGCAAAGAATTGTAACTGTTTTTTTTGCAAAATTCAGTCACGTTGAAAAAATCTATATCTGCAATAAAAGAGTCTGGGTGAGGGGGCAAGTGTTGTGAACTGCACCACAATGTATCCGTACTACATGCCACTGCCAGCCTGACAAAACAACAGTAGCACTAAAGGCTCAGTGCACTAGTGGTGTTGGGCACAGTTCATTGCACCTCATTGGTGCCTATGCCCAAAGTTTGCATTTATGGCTTTATTTCAAGCTATACAGGTTCTATTGTGCAACGTTACAAGCACTGTAACATACAAGTGTGCACACCAAAAGGGTGTCATCCTGTGACGGTGCATACGCGGTAAACTACAGTCGAACCTCGATATATCGAACGGTGCGGCGATTGCGAAATAGTTCGATATATCCACAATTCGATATAAAAAAATCACGAAAAAAATGCATCAACAGCTTGCTGAAAACAACCAACGAACCGTTCAAGCGTGGTGCACTAAATACTCACTTGAAGATTCAAACATAGTATTTATTGTGTTGGTTTAAAATATTGAGAAAGAGTAGCCTGCTTTTTGTTGGCCACGGCATGTTTGACGACTGCGTCCTCAATATAGTCTAGGCGATCCATAAGTGATAAGACGGTGCCTTCAATCGCGCTGCAGTGGCGGCGCACAAGGGCCAAGGCAGCTACGACCTGAGCTGATGTCAGGAGCGGGGCACCATCAGCGCTTGCGGGATCCACCTCGGCAGAGTCTTCATTTGGCTGCTCAGCAGTAGCTTCGGCGACAATCTCCACATTCGTGAGCTCCGCCGTTTAGTTAGGCCTGTTGCGCACCACAGCGCGCGACAGGCCTAACTCCAAACGCACGAAAACTGCGAGCACAACGACCGATGCGTGCCGATGCTACGGGGGAGGAGCTTGCAACAAGTGCGCAGTGTGCCGTTGACACCATATAGACTGCAACGACTGCAAGCTGCAAGGCTGCGGCGCGAGTCCGGGTGTAAAGCGCGCACATGGCGCGCCCATGCCGGCTCGCCTGACTGCTTTCCCTTTCCCGGCGGTGTTGGTCCGAGACAGTCGTCTGTGTCCTTTCTCTCCTATACTTTCCTCCTCAATCTTTACCTCCCACTTCCCCCGCGCGAAGCCGTGTCGGTGCCTTCGTATTGAAAGAAAATAACAGCTCCGCGCTTTTCTCTTCACTTTCCTCATTCAAGAACCTCTACCCCAAGGCTGCGGCGCGCGTACGCCGCTACGTTAAAGTGGCGCTCTCGGCGCCATCTGTGTGCCGCATTCGTAAACGCCCGCCGCTCTACCCCTACTTTCGAGAGTTGCGGGAAAGCTCGCCGCCTGTCAATGAAGCGCGGGCGGTTTGGGGTGGCTGAGTTCGATATATCCATTATATAATTAAAACTTTGTTCGAAATGAAAAATCAATAATGCATGCGATTTCCCGCGTGATATAAGAACGGTTTGATATAGGCCATAATTCGATATATCCGTGTTCGATATATTGAGGTTTGACTGTACATTATATAGTTGATCTGTGGCTATGCGCCAGCAACAACAGCCTAATAAAGCCAAATAGCATAGGGGACATTATTTACTGCTTTTCACTACGGTACAGTGATTGTAACATAAATAGAAAGGATCTGATGTGGATGAAAGAAGCTTACTGCCAGCGATCTCCAAACTGACAACTGCTCGCTGGAAACAATAACATAATGCCAGCTTGCAAAAAAAAAAAAAAAAATGTCGAATACTTGCCATCATGGCTATGAGAGGTGTTCTCCAATGCTGCAATGTTCAAGTGCATAGAGTACCCAGTAAAACAGAAGAGAGTGTCTGTTGCTATAGTGCAGTCAGTAAAACAGCTGACACTCAACTTAAAGGTTTAGGTTTGGTCCTGTCTGGTGGCAAGTTATTTTTCATAAAATTTAATTCCCTTCTGTTAATGTTATCACTAAACTACGGTTAAAATTACAGATAATGTACGCCGTGCACTTCTTGACTTCATAAGACAATATCTAACATAAAAATGAGTCCTTGATCCCTTTCCTATCTTCAGCATTGAACAATCAGGCATAAAAATGACTAAATTCAAGCTGCCAGTAGAACCAGCTCATCTTCTTTTTCATAGTAGATAGAGAAGCAGAGCTTTTCACAGGTACATCGTGGTCGCAAACATGTAATGGTTGAGTATCTCCTCCTTTTGTTCAACTGCAACTAAGATGATTTGTTCAGCAGAGAGTGAACCAACAGAAATCTCTTGAACGGAACAGCTGCTTAATTTAAACAGCAGCCTCTATTATGGCTGACATTAAATAGAAATTCTGCACCATGTTCATCCAGCAGTAAACAGAACTCCTGTTACCTGAAACACATTTTCTTGCTCCCTTCAGGTTCTATTTAAGAGACTACACAGCATTTCTTCCTCACCATGCAAAGCAAGCTTCTGCACTTGGTACCCACCTTCAGAGTCGGCGCTGCGGACGCAGGCTATCTTAGCTGGCGTGCCCGCCTGTGGTGAGAGCTCTGTAGATGGAGGGCGCTTTGAGGGTGCCACGGGAGCCGGCGTAGTGCTAGCTGGCACTGTTGGGGACCCATCCACCGAAGACTGCTCCATTGCTACAAAGACAATATTCTTATTAAGTGACCTAAGGAAACTATCCAATGTAACATCTTAAGCCAGTCATCCTCTAGTCAGTTTGGTATGGCCAGGCACAACATGGAGAAACATACACACACGACAGAAAACAGTTTAAGAAATACAGATAAAAGTCATTCTAACAATGCTCAATTTTACAATGTTTGTGACCCAACAAAAAAAAATTATCATTTGTCAGCAGGTACCCAGAAAACTAAATGCTGTCATCCACCCAAAGTAACAAAAATAACTTGCCATATGATCTACCAAAGATTTTCTTGATTTAAATAAGCACAAAAGCAGTGATTTTCACCGGATTTTGACATAGAAGACTTGTTTCTTGAAGTGTATACTCTAACATCATCATGCTGAAACATTTATACCACTGCAGCCAGAACCCTAGTTGCATTTTGATGAGGCAGCATGTCACACCCAGGTATTGATTAGTTGATTCAACAATCGGCAGCACTTCTTCATGACAGACGGTATCACTGCACTTGTTCTCCCTGTTTTTTTTTAAATATCCCTATTACCTGGCCTAAATCGCATCCTGCATGAAGTATTGTGATACTGCTCTCTAAACAGTGTTCAAGATAGCACGTAGGACACTCACTGGAAAGCTCCGCCTCATGGTTATCACGAAGATTTTCCAGCAATTTGCTGCAGGATTCAAGAACCCTCTACTGCAGACCACACCTATCTCGCACCCGGACGCCAGGCTCCCGGCACATACTCTCGCACCCAGACGGCCATTTTGTTCTAATCTGCCAAGGCGCGTATCTGTTGCGCAAAGTTAACGTGGCAAGCCGCATCTCAGGGACTTTAAAATAGGAAAAAGCACCTAGTCAAGCCACTACCACTTACTAGAAGTCGTCTTGGCACCACTGTGCCATCTTTGAATCTGAAAACAATCAGCACAACAGGAACATTTTACTCAGCACTGTCTGTGAAAATCACAACACAATGCGAAAATTATGCTGGTGCAGTGTTTTAAGATTGCTCACATTTACACACACAACAGAAAATGTAGAGCTCCACCACTAGTAGATGATTGTATTGAACAGGAAAGACAATGGGCCCAGTGGAAGTATACGAGTACACTTACTGCGTGTATTCAAGCGTGACGCCAGCTATTTTGCTTGCAGGAGTAATTTGCATGCAGTATGCCTGTAGTATGCGGCACCAAATCATTGCCGAACTCTTTTGCAGGCTGCATGCCAATAACAGGCGATGATTTGAATCGACTCTAGCATGCATGCACACACTGCACCCATTGAGTGCAAATGTAACAGCATACTATCGATGCAAAGAAATGTGAACAGCGGAAAGCGTGTGTTTTTACTTCTTCAAACTGGTCATGCTTTGATTGCCACTAGGCGAATCTGTGCTTTCAGCCGGCGTCACTGTAGCACCATAAAACCTTGCTCTGGCTGGCACTTTCGCACTGTGAGCATGTTTCTAGTGCCAAGACATGACTGGCGTATGATAAACGCATGTGGTGCACGAGCACAAGCCGGAGTGGGATTCTAACGCTACGGTGACGCCAGCTGAAAGCAAAAGTTTTGCCTAGTGGCAGTTAAAGCATGTCACAGTTTTAATTGGAAGCCACGCTTTTCTTTGTTCACGTTCTTTTCTATGGCAATAGTATGTACCTGATAAAGTTGCTTCCACAAACTGCAATGCATGTGCTGTAGACATTCTGGATTGTCGAGGAAGGCCTTCTCAACATTTCACAAGAAAACAGCACAAATTTTCAAGAGAAGAAAAGCACGAAGCATGTTTACGGCTGCACTCAGGTCAAGAAGTTCCGCGTTAAAATAGTGGGGCGTCTGCTAGGACGGCAGTTAAGGATGTTGCTTTGCCGCACTTGTGACAGGTTGTGCGACGTGCTGCCTAAATATGGCGGCACACAGTGAACTCTGTGTGTGTTCTGGTGTATAGTCGGGAGACACACCTCGTGGCTTGGTAGGGGCCTTGCTTGCGCACTTGGTGCATCCACCCTGCAGTGGCTGGCTGGAGTAAAAGTTCTCACAGCAGAGCAGTTCCTCGAAGAGGTTCTCCAGGTAGGTCCAGAAGGCTGACACTTTATCCACAGTCGGCAGGTGGCATGTATGTGATTGGCCATCAAAGGTGGCTGCACACAGGGGCATGCTCCAAGAAATCACCAACATGACCACACAACATAACGCTGGCTTATTACGCCTCACTTTTAATGCAGGAGAGACACAGTATGGGCAAATCTCTGCACATTACTATCACAGATAAGTTGCAACTAGTCTGATTCATAGCTCTTATGCAGTTCATTGCCTCCATACTTCTTTTTTGCAAAATCCTCACTAAGAACGCTGCAGCTAGCTTTGGACATTGTAAACAGAAAACCAAGAAGCATATGTGGCTAGAAATGCACCTTCTTGCACCCCAGGTTTGACTGGCACGGCAACATGTATCACACTATATGTGGTCTAATGAGCCAACAACTATGTTTATCAGCTGTCATGGTTTTTCTGTGAGTGCAGGGACTCCCTGTGGCTTGATACTTTCAAATATACACAGTACCATGTACAGTGAACATCTAGTTATGAGTATTACAAATTCTGGTAATAGGGGTTCATAATATTCCCTGGCAGAAATGCGCTGTTTACAGCACGAAAAATATTGGCTGTTCCGAACAATTTTCACATAGCTGCGGAGCATAGGAACGTGCAAGCAAAAGCGGCAGCCAAGCCATCCTAGTAACTGACTTAAAGAAATTGACGCAGCTGCCACAATGGGATCTGAATAGGATTCCTAGTTGCCAAGGAACAGTCCACATCATGAGAGCACACAATATCTCATTGAAAGATTTCCCGACTACGTGACTTGTGGTTTATGAGCTATAAAGGACATTGCAAGAGAGCTTTCCACCCCAGAGTCTGCTTTGACCACTGAGGAAGGATACAACATGTGCTCAATGTGCTGAGGCAAATGAAAACAGTGAGGGCAGGTGTGCACATTTTATGCATTCCAGAAGGTCATCGTGTTCAACAATTCGAGTGAGAATAAAATGTAGACGTCTACGAAAATTCTTTTGATGCAAATAACTTCATTTGTAAAATGCAGTGATGCTAAGTGCACGAAGAAACACAAAGGAACAGTTCCTTCGTGTTTCTTTGTGTCTTAGGCTGCTTTGAAGCAGCTTTTGGAGCAGACAAAAATGCATTTTAGAGCAACAAAACTAGCTTTCAGAGCAGATACTGCTAGGGTCTATTTCAAGATGCGTACTTATTTTAATGAAGAAATCCGTAAACAGGGATTGTGTCAAGCCGACATCCTCAGAACAAAACTGTAATGTTTTAGCCTTGAGAAAGACGGTTCCGCTTGTCGAATAGTCGGCCCTACAAAAACACTGTCTACAGATTTTTTCTCACAGGAATGATAGAATTACAATTTGCTGCATGCTATTCAAGCATAATAGAGTAAAAAAGAAAAGCAAATTATATCCCTGACAGATAACTTGACCATATTCAATAGACAAAGTCAATGATAAAATTTAAAAACATAGCACTTTATCATAACGTGACTGAAGATCAGTTGACTGCTGATTTTTTGGAAGCCAGACTTTTCAGAGATGCTTGAAAATTCAGACGGATTTCACGACATCATCACAAGCCCTACCGAGGTCTATGAGTAAGAACATCTGAAATTTTCTACGTTGAAACTCTTCGGCGTACAATTTTTTGTGCTTTCAGCCGACATTCTAGGTATGAAACAGCATTACTTAAAGCACCACCTCTGCTACATCTATGTCCTCGTAGGCTTAAATGAGCGCCTTGAAGAGTCGTTCGACGTCCTAGTAATGTCCAAAAATCGATTTTACTGCAATGCATAAGTGCATTGGGGTGAAGCAGATAAAAATTTGAAGGGGCCGGTATCACCGTGAAGTGAGGTGATGTCTAACGGATAAGCACCGGAAATGATTGGAGGTGTGGTGGCGGCAATGTGGCAAACACACCAATTAGGCCTAATCACTTTATGATAAGCATCTTCAGCTAGCTGCTTGTTACTGCACATGGCATAGTTGTCATCGTACTGCACGCTTTTAATCACTCACGCACGCCGCAGCCCGCGCTGCCTTTCTGTGCGAATTGACTAAGTGCACCGCACATACATGGTGCCTTCATGCATGAAAGCAGTTCGTTATCGCGGCGCCTGTGTGTGATCAAAAACAGAGTGGGCATCAGAAACACTTTTTTGTGACAATCACGCGCATACGAAAGCGCCCCAGTAGGAATAGCATCAGCTGTGTAGGCGATGTGCTGCACACAACTAAGAACAACTCTCGTGTGGCAGCAATTGCCACGTGTTGCCAGAGATTTTCGTACAGTGGCGCATCTTCTAAGTGCACATCGCGTCTGGAGATGCGGACAAGTATTCCTCTACTCTGCCACATCCTTTGAGTTCTGTGTCGTCATTTCTACACACTCCATGCGATAAATCCACAACTTATTCCACGCTTTGGTGGTATCGGCGGCGTTCATCATGCGCCGCATATTTACATATAGACGTCGGCAGGCCCTAAATGTATTTAGGGAAGCCTGAGTGTGCACAGAAATGCCTGATAAGTATACTCTAGAAGGCATTGAAGCTATTTAAGACGGAGCTGTGGCAATTTGATTACTTTAGCAGAATAAAAATTGGAAATTCACTGTGTCCCAACCATCTATGGTCCCGACAGTGACATTTGACCAAGTTTGGCTTGGCTTACCTCGGGTTGCGCCTTACGCAGGTGCACTGCAATGCCAATTTCAACTGGACAACGTCAAGTAGTTTTGTTTCTGCAAGTCGAAGCACACCCTTTGGCGCAGGTTGGGCGCAGACTCGCCAAATTTTTAGAAAGTGTAGCAGCGTGTAGTAGCCAGGGCAATTCAGCGCACTTTGGCGCAGCAGTAGCATCACTGAAGATGTTGTGTACATTTTGACAATATTGCCACGTTCCATTTCACAAGTTTCTGTTATCGTCCCAAAACACCACACGATTCTCAGCGCAAACCGCGCCTGCAGCTTTCGAGAAGGTTCCGGACTGTAGTAGATCATTTCGATAAGATCACGCCCACTGTGCGAACGGTACAGATTGTTCTGGAACCTACGCCACCGCCAGCGATAACGCTAGAACATTCGACGGCAAAAGTATAAATTCCGACGCGCTTCGCCGCTTGTCAGTTGTTGACCGAAGGCCGACGCTCCGTTCGCCGCTATCAGTCCGAGACTGCAATCTGTGCGAGACTGCTGCTGTAATTGGACTTTCCGTTCACCGGGCACAGGTTTGCCCAAATAAACAGTTCAATCCCAACACGAAGTCTCCCGTCTTCGGCCACGTCACGACCCCGTGACATCTGGTGGAGGTGCTGCTTCGTTCATGTACCGGACGCCCCCGTCAAGTCGTGAAACCAGCCCACGTCGCGGAGAAGACACCGACGCCAACCAGGAGCAGCGAACAAGACGCCGACAGCAAGGGCTACCACTGGAGTACGGGCTTCTACAAGACAAGGCGCGGAAGACCATGGCCATGACCGCGACTGCAGCGACAATGACAACCGCAGCGTCCCAGCCCACGATGGTGATGCATCAACCCAGGGAACCACCAATTTTCCATGGGTCATCGTTCGAAGACCCGGAGTCCTGGCTAGAAACATACGACCGCGTGGCTGCCCTCAACCACTGGGACCATGACGAAAAGCTGCGTCGTGTGTTTTTCTATTTGGAAGACACCGCAAGGACCTGGCTCGAAAATCGGGAGTCCACGCTCCGAACGTGGAATGTTTTCTGCGGCGCATTTCTGCAAACGTTCGCGAGCGTCGCTCGCAAAGAGAGGGCCGCTGCTTTATTAGAGACCCGGGTTCAGCTACCAAATGGAAATGTCGCCATTTTCACAGACAGAAGAAATGACCCGACTATTCCGTCACGCTGACCCAGACATGCCTGAGGAGAAAAAAGTTCGTTTCCTCATGCGAGGGGTCAAACAGGAGCTCTTCGTGGGACTGATGAGAAACCCACCGAAAACCGTCCAAGAATTTGTAGCCGAAGCGACCACTATCGAAAAGACCCTGGACATGCGCACCAGACAGTATAATCGTCGCCTGACTGCAGACTGCGCTGCTGCTCAAGCCAGTAACTCCGAAGACCTGCGTGAAACGATCCGAGCGATCGTGCGGGAAGAGCTGCGCAAGCTGTTGCCTTCGGCGCAGCCTCAAGTGGATTCAATCGCCGACATTGTGCGAGAAGAAGTTCGGCAATCGCTTCAAATTCCCCACGCACCGCTGCCCGAGCCGGAAGCTATGAGCTACGCCGCTGCACTGCGCCACAAGGCTCCTGCCTGTCCACGCCAGAACGCCGCCCCATCGCACTTCCGTCGACAGACGCCACCGCCGCCACCACCCCCACCGACGTCATACCGTTCGCCAGCGGCCCAACGCAGTGCACCGAGGAAGACTAACGTCTGGCGCACCCCTGACCATCGCCCGCTCTGCTACCACTGCGGCGAGGCCGGACACACATACCGCCGTTGCCAGTACCGACAGATGGGACTGCGTGGCTTCGCCGTCAATGCACCGCGTCCACAGCCAGGAGAACGACCACGTGACATCGCCGACTACCTGATAGGAACTCGGTGGACACCACGAAGCCCTTCGCGTTTGCCGTCGCCCAGCCGCCGCGCTTCACCGCACCACCGGCAGAACTCTGGCCCAACGCGGGGCCGGTCTCCTAGCCCGTATCAGGGAAACTAAGGGCAGCAACCGGTGGAGGTGCGGTTGCTGTACGACGAACTACCGAAGATCCTCCTCCGACGACGCCGCCGCGACGGAGCTATCCGAACACAACGCCAACCAGGCAAAGCCCTGACGGCGAAAGCTCACTTACCGAAGGTGGCCTGACGACGCAACATGGAAGCAGCGGAACAAGCCGACGCAGCCGTGACACGACGCCACGCCCTAACTGTAATGCGAGACGGCGAACTAGCGACCTCGACGTTCTTATCGACGGCCACAGTGTGACCGCTCTCGTCGATACTGTAGCCGACTATTCTGTTATCAGTGGGTCGTTCGCCGCGAAGTTAAAAAAAGTTAGGACAGCTTGAAAAGGCCCTGAAATCCGCAC